TTTTATTCTTGTTTTGCTACCTTTCAATAATATGTAAACCTTTTCTATCCTTAAGTATACTTTTATTTTTCCTGTCTAAGAAGCACTTTTAACTTAAAATGGTGTTACGCCGTTTATGCAGCATCCTTGGAGTGATACAGTACGGCTAGCCATTGATTTGGAAGCATTGGGCATAGGAGGAAAATCTGGTATATTCCAGGTCAGATGTTATTTATGAGCACGATTGGTCATTTCATTTCTTCATTTCTTTTAATTGATTTTATTTGTTATTAATTATTAAAGATATCAGATACTCCCTCCGTTTTACATTAATTGTCGTTCTAGTTTAAAAGAACAAAATTACGCATTTGAAGGAAGTAGTTATCTTGTCAAGCATCTCTTTAAATCTCCTAAATCTTAGTAATGTTTTCTCTCTCCGCCTCAATTATGTAGTTATTGATAATAAATTTTGAGAAGTTATAGTAGTTCATGGTTATCCAAAAACCAAAATGACAATTAATAAGCAAAAACGAATTTACACTCAAACGACAATTAAAACAAAACGGAGGGAGTATTAAAATGTATTTTTTTTTTTCAATTGAATAGTAGCAAAATTATTCACAGCTTTCAAGGAGATCATGGTGTCCTTTCTTATATTATCTTTCTTTTGTATTCTGTAATCTCTTTAACTGTAAAACTCAACGATTCATCAATCTTCATTTCTTTCTACAATTTCTTACTGTCGTCAACAGGCTGGTCCTCATCCTTGGGCTATAGAAAACTATGCTTCGGTTGTGAAATATCCTAGTGCACAAATAATCGCCGAGGTTTGTTCATAATAAAAAACACAACAAAAAATTTTTGCAATCAGCTTTGTCATTTTTTATCCTAGGCCTAGCTTTTGCTCAGATTGAGAAGTCACATTCACTGTAATTTGAATAACAGGATGTTTTTACTTCGGGGGCTATAAAATCAGGAACTGACTTTCAAGTGTACAAAGAGCTCGCTCAACTTTCAGGACTCGATTTTGCATTCACAGATAATACTGCTGTGTATCACACCAAGGTAATTTTGATTTTTTTTTTTTTTTTGTCCCTATTATTGTAGTTGGTATATATTTGTTGACAGTGTGAACGTACGAAGCTCAAAGACGCGTTTTTAACTGCAGAATGACAAATTAGAACTTTTGAAGCCTGGTTCTCTTCAACATCTCGGAGAAAATATGCTCGCTTTTTTGCTGCATGCAGCTGCCTCAAGCAACATTCCAAAAGGGAAGTCAACAGAATCAGATTTGAAATCCAACGAGGACAAAGCTATATATTTCGACATTTTGGTAATCTTGACTGACTCCTATGTTGTACATTCACATATACAAAAAAAATTCTTCTTCTCGGTTGGCCCAGGTGAAAATACAATGATCTTTTCAAACCCCTTGAATTTGTTGCACTACTATAACAATTATCCCCTTATTCGGGCACAATTTATAAATTCTTAACAGGTTATTTGTAGTTTCTTTAAAAACTTATTTTTCTTTCTTCTCTCTCTTTAGAAAAATATCTAAACCTTTGGTTATTGTTTTTCTTCTCGAATTAATTTATAAATTCTTGAGGGTATGTTCGTATATCAAAAACTCAATCCATACTCAATTCATACTCAAAATCTAACTCAACTTTAATTCAACTCCACTATCCTCAATATTATCAATATAATTAAGTAATACCAACCAATCATTCTTACACAACACATCAACTTTAATTTACTATTCATCCACTCCAATAATTTTAACTATCACTTCACAACATGTCTCTCCTACTATTACATCAAATCAACATTTAGTTATTTTATTTTAAATATTATTTTAATATAAAATCAAAATTCCACTAACTAACCATATGGTCCATATCACCTTTTTCAAAATTAACCCTAGTTAACTAAAAAAACTCGTTTTGAGTCAAGCACGCCAGTTTCTTTAAAAACTTATTCTTCTTTCTTCTCTCTCTCGGAAAAAATATCTAAAACCTTTGATTATTGTTTTTCTTCTCAAATTAATTGACCATATATCTATCATCTATCACAGGGTACATACATGATCACATTCCGGCAGCGCCTTGCCACCATGATTTACAATTCTGTAGTATTGCAATCCCTCTTGATATGGACAACTTCAGTTTTCATGGGCGGTTATTCGGCAGCCATCTCAGTAGCTCTATCGTTTTTTACTATCATTCTCATGTGGATATTTTCCATTAGTTTCTCATCTGCCGTGGCTTTCATTCTCCCCCTCATATCATCATCATCAGCAGTGCCGTTTGTTGCTAGCCCGTGGCTCGTTGTTGGTCTATTCGGTGCACCTGCCTTTCTTGGTGCGTTGACCGGTCAACACATTGGTTTCCGTGTTCTTGAGTCCTATTTGGCGAATAATTTAACTGAAAGAAGGAAAAGTTTATCGGCTGTCTTGAAAGCAAGCGTGGTTAAGCTCGATGCCGAGAGATGGCTTTTTAAAGCCGGTTTATTGCAGTGGCTCGTTTTATTGATGGCTGGGAGTTATTTTAGGGTTGGCTCGACTTATCTGGCTTTTGCTTGGCTTGTCTCGCCTGCATTTTCGTGTAAGTTGTGCTTTCTGATTGTTTTATATTACACTTTAAAAGAAAAAGTATAAAAAGGGGTTGATTTTATTCTTTATTACACTTTACTGGAAAAAGATATTGACAGGGCCTCTTTACATTTGAAAGTATTTCACAAACCCCTTAGGTTTAAACATCAATTGTTTTATGGAATTAGTACAAACCCTCAAGTTTTCTTTCTTTTATTCCAAAAAAAGAAAAGATTCCTTAAAAATTCTTGATGAAGCTCTCGAAAGGGTAAGTTCTCTGTATCTTGCAAGTGCTGAATATGAATAGTTCTCCGCAAGTGCTGAATATGAATAGTTCTCCGTATCATACAAATAGGATTTTGTAATCCAAATGAGGAGAAATATGCATTATTGATAGATAGATAGATATATACACAGTTATTCAACTTATAATAAATGTACATATGTAATCGTTAATTTCTAATTATTCTTTATGGTTTAATGTTCTGGATCTTTCTAGATGGTTTGCTCGAGGCAACATTATCGCCAGCGAGGCTGCCTAAGCCGCTTAAAACAGTGACCTTGATTATTGGCTTGCTTGTGCCCTTTTTACTCTCTTCCGGCATGGTTATTAAGTTGACAGCTATTGTAATTGGAAGTGCTGTTCGAACCGTACGGTAATTTTTTCCGAAAAATCTTTTAAGAAGTGATCACTTTATTTTCTAAATAATGTTTCAAATTTTCTTACTATCATTGATTTGACTATGCATCAATTTCCTTGTACATATTTTCATTTCTATAACATATTAAAACTTCCTTCATGTTCACACGAAAAAAAAAAAAAA